ACAACAACAACAACAACAACAACAACCACAACAACAACTAGAACCACAACCACCTGGGCGCCATAGCCGTGCTCCACGCTGTCGACCTGCACAACACCAACAAAAAGAACAACAGCAACAACCACAACAAGAACCAGAATGAGAACCACAAGAAGAAGAACAAGAACAACAAGAAGAAGATGAAGAAGAAGAAGTAAAAGTAGAAGAAGGGCGAAGGCCATACCTGCGTCACTTACCTGGGTGCCATAGTCGTGATCCACGCTATCGACTTGCACAACAACAACAACAACCTCAACAACAACCACAACCACAACGACCATGGCGCCATAACCGTGCACCACGCTGTCGACCTGCACAACACCAAAAAAAAAAACAACAGCAATAACCACAACAACAACCAGAACCACAACCTAAAGAAGAAGAAGAAGAAGAAGAAGAAAAAGAAAAAGAAAAAGAAGACGAGGGGCGGAGGCCATACCTGCGTCACTTACCTGGGCGCCATAGCAATGATCCACGCTGTCGACCTGCACAACAACAACGACAACAGCAACAACCACAACAACAACGAGAACCACAACCACCTGGGCGCCATAGTCGTGCTCCACGCTGTCGACCTGCACAACACCAACAAGAACACCGACAGCAACAACCACAAAAAGAAGAAGAAGAAGAAGAAGAAGAAGAAGAAGAAGGGCGGAGGCCACACCTGTGTCATTTACCTGGGCGCCATAGCCGTGATCCTCGCTGTTGACCTCGACAACAACAACAACCAGAACCACAACCACGTGGGATCCATAGCCGTGCTCCACGCTGTCGACCAGCACAACACCAACAAGAACAAAAACATCAACAACCACAACAACAACCAAAACCAGAACCACAAGAAGAAGAAGAAGAAGAAGAAAAAGAGGGGCGGAGGCCATACGTGCGTCACTTACGTGGGCACAGGCTTACGTCGACAGCACAACACCAACAAGAACAACAAKAGCAACAACCACAACAACAACCACAACCTGAACCACAAGAAGAAGAAGAAGAACAAGAACAAGAAGAACAAGAAGAACAAGAAGAACAAGAAGAAGAGGGGCGGAGGCCATACCTGCTTCACTTACCTGGGCACCATAGCTGTGATCCAAGCTCTCGACCTGCACAACAATAACAACAGGAACAACCACAACAACAACCAGAACCACAACCACCTGGGCGCCATAGCCGTGCTCCATGATGTCGACCTGCACAACRTCAACAAGAACATCAACAGCAACAACCACAAGAAGAAGAAGAAGAAGAGGGGCGAAGGCCACACCTGCGTCACTTACCTGGGCGCCATAGCCGTGATCCACGCTGTCGAC